TTGATTGATTTCCTGGTGGACACTGGCGAGACATACTCTGTTTTGAATTCTAAATTGGCAAAGGTGAGCAAAGGGACAGTGCCAGTCACGGGGATCACAGGAAGGCCACAGCAGAAAGCCTCCCTGCAACCTCTGGAGTGCCAGCTGGGCACCACTCAGCTCCAGCACAGCTTCCTCTACATGGAAGAGTGTCCGATTCCTCTCCTTGGTCGTGACCTTTTAAGTAAGCTGAATGCACAAATTACGTTCTCACCTCAAGATCAGAGACTCCACCTGCAGGTGCCTCCAGAACATGCTTTGCGGTTCCAGATGTTACTGACTCAGGATGTTCCCCCAAAAGGGAAGTGTTACCCTCAGAGATCATCGAAAGAGTAAGTAAATGGGTGTGGGCTGATGGGACCCCAGGACGGGCGAAAAATACGGAGCCTGTGAAAAGGGTAATAGAGGGAAGCAAAACCCCAAAGAGGAAGCAGTACCCTTTAAAGGAGGAGGCTGTGAAAGGAACTGAGCTAGTTTTGAAAAGGTTCCTTTGATCTGGACTCATTCGGCAGTGTCGCTCACCATATAACACTCGATTTTACCAGTGAAGAAACCTCATACTGGCGAGTACCATTTTGTCCAAGACTTAAGGGCTATCAATGAAAGTGTCAAAGATATACATCCAACTGTGCCTAATCCATACACCTTACTAACCGCCATACCAGGTGACTTTGGGTGGTTTTCAGTACTGGACCTTAAGGATGCCTTTGTCTGTATCCCTGTAGATGACCAGGATCAGTTACTTTTTGCCTTTGAATGGCTGGACCCTGAGTCCAAAAGCACCCTCCAGTATTGCTGGACTGTGCTGCCACAGGGGTGTAAGAACTCTCCAACTATTTTTGGGGAAATATTAGCCAGGGATCTAAGGAAAGTTAAGTTAAACCAGAGCATCTTATTACAGTACGTAGATGATTTATTGATTGCAAGTCCAGACTATGAATCCTGTCTGGAAAATACCACAGTGGTACTGAATCACCTGGCAGAATGTGGCTACAAAGTATCACCTCAAAAGGCACAAATCTGTAAGCAAATTGTGACATATTTGGGGTTTGAGATTACAAAAGGGAAACGAAGCCTTATGACAGAAAGAAAACAGGTGATTACAGCCCTTAAGGTCCCCAGCAACCGGAG